CAGATGAAAAAATATTGATCCCAACGATGAATATCATAGAATAATTTTCACCAGAAGTAAAATCTTTCACATTACAAGACAATCCACTTTACAAACATGCCTTCGCTTAGATGGTGAGTCTGAAGTGGATCACTACTTTGTCTCAGATCTTCGTCCTTGAAAACGATGTCCCTCAGGCGCTCTATAAACTAAATCGGTTAATTCCCCTATGGTGGTGAAGTCAGTGTGCCACCCCTTCGCGGTTAGCTATGAAAGAATCGTAGATAATAATCTACTAATGGATTATTCCTCTGATCAATGGATCATAATTTTGGTCTTGAATGTTGTACTATCTTCAAACTCACTGCTTCATCTCGGATCTCTGTATTTGGAACTAATGCCCCTCAATGCTCTGTAAAATAATTCCATTAATGTCTCGGCAGTGCTAAAGACATTGCATCGCTCCTTGATGACTAGCAATGACATGATTGTAGATAAGATTCCACTGCTGAATTACTATTTGGCTCAATGAATCATTATTTTAGTCTCGAATGATGCATGATCTTTGAACAAACCTCATTCTTGTACTATGAACTTCTTTCAGCCCTTGATGCATGTCTGTGTATGCGACTGCTTGATTGAAAACTTTTACCCCTTCTTGTAAAAATTTTCTCTTGAATATCCCCTTGCGGATCAACACTCTCGCATTATGTTATGACAATACAATGCAAAAATGATGAAAAATGAGAATAAATTAGTGTACACAAACAAAAGAAAAGAAATTAGTTAGTACATATAAGACAATCGATACAGATAAAAATGTTATTCAAAGATGAATATAACATCTACCCCGACATGATATCTACCCGAGCATGCTTTCAATAGATAGCAATCCTACCCGGACATGCTTTCTACCCAAAATGATATATTTTCAAGAAATTGGTCATAACCACATGGTATCTAGTTCGCATGTTATTATTTAACAGAATTTAAAAATAAAAAGGAAAGGTTTAGAAGCGCTCATACTTTGTGTACACATATTTTGGGTACCTACTGATGGACAGAGATTCAGACTATCTATACCTAGGGTGAATGTTCTACGGTTCACTATATGCATGGTTTCGGCTCTAACAGGAAAAGGGAACTCGAATTGTCCTTGATGTCGGTGTCCCCTTGGGCTGACAGACCCTCGATCCTCACCTATTACAGGTTTCGAATGGAACGAGTTCAATTCGAGGTGATTCAATGCCTTATACCCATATGAGGAATAAATCCCTACGAATGTATAAAGTATGTATCACATGGGTTATTTGCTAAAACTCATACGAAGAATAAATTCTTACGAGAGTAAAGCATTCACCCCGACTAATTTGGATCGAAGTTCGAGTCTAGAGCTTATGTTATGCAAATGTATGTGACCTGTGTGAGGAGGAGCGCACCTACCTTCGACTCAACAATAGAACAAAACAAGGAACAAACTTGATAAAACCTTGACGAATCTGAAAATAGAGATTAAACTGTTAATATGACAGATAAAAATGAAGCAAAAACTTCAATAAACGAATCAGAAGTTAACTAAAGACTCGAACTCATAATTTCGACCACAACGACAATGTGTAAGCGGCCTACAACTTGGCTCTCTAAAAACTCATCCCCAGTGGAGTCGCCAAGCTGTCATAACCATTTTTTATAAAGAAAACAATTAAATATTATTCTTAAAACGATTATGACTTTAATTTTGAAAAATTGGGGAATTTGGAATTGATTTGGAATAAATTTGATAGGGGTTAAAATGGAGTCGCCATCGACCTTTGGCTTATGTAAGTCGAATACCTAAAAACGTCTTTTAAACAAAAAAAATTAAGAAAATTTTTTTTAGAGAAAAAGTTGGTCTGCATTTACAAAGATTCAATTAAAATGGGCTCAGGAGTCGATTACGCGTGGGGAAGGATAAGAATCCCCACAACGCCCAGAATTGGTATTGTGTCGCTTATACGTTGTCATAAATGGTGGAAATTACAAGTCAAATATAAAGTTAAAATGTGATCAATTTATCGAACATTGATTAATTTGCTTTGAATTAATTGGAGAAAATTCTTTAACTTGAAAAGAAATCTCAAGATTAGCAATCCTCCGTCGGGAAAGCTAACTCGACCATTTCTTATTCGTAAAGAATATTCCCTCTTCGACAAAATGCGAATCGAGTATAAATTTAAAATCGACATTTGCATAAAATGGAATAAATTGCTATTTAAAAACATGCATGACGTTGTTCGATTTAAATATGAAATGAATTAATTAACAAAATAAAGTTCATTGATTTCAAGTTCACGTTTTGTTAAAATGCCGTATTGGATCGCATCACTTCGACCAAGTGAAGCATTCCACGCTCATTCTACAAATTGGTTCTTGAAATTATTTGAATCACACTAAAATATCAATATCATTTACAAGAAACATGCATCGTAAAAAACATTTCCTATATCCAATTAAAATGAGTAATATAAAACAAAACTAACAAAGGTGAACATTAATATTAAGTAAATATAACTATATATATGTCACAATAACAAAACGTTTAACATTTAAAAACATAAAAAAATAAAAATAAAAAAATAAAAAATATGTTTTGAACAAGAATAATAAACTAATATGAAACTTGTTGACAAAATATTAAATTAAAATAACTAAAGATTACAGGGGCTGAAAATAAAATTCTACCAAACATTATGCAAAGAACAATGACTAAAATGAACTTAAGAGAAAAAGTAAGCCCAAACAATATATTAACCCCATCGAACCAAAGGCAAACACAAAGGACCGAAATGAAAACTACACACAAACTAGAATCATAATCGCATACATCAAACATATAAGGTACTGGGAGTAAAAATAATCCAAAACATCATTGGGATTAAAATATAATGAAAGTAAAACATACATGTTAATTCAGGATTTAACCCAAAATACAAAACAATGACCAAAATGGAATTTTCAAACACAACAAGATCAATGTCTAACATTTACAAAATATATATAATAATGGTCAAGTGACCAAATTACAACTTTAATAAATGAAATGAATAAAGTTTAAAACAAATAAATTACAATCAGTGGCCAAAATAAAAATTTCATAAATTCTATGGCCAAATTTGAACATCAAAGAAAATACACAAAGCACGAGATTAATGACTTAAATGAAACAATATAAAACATGGTGACCAAATTCGGATAATAACAAAAATATATACATACACGTGCTTGAAGCCCAATAAGGACTAAAATGAACTAAATAGAAATAAAAAGGGGCTCAATAGTAATTAAACAAAATGTAAACTAGTGACTAAAATGAAAGGTACTTAAATATCATGGCCAAGTTCGAACCTTAACAAAAATACCATACACCATAATAATATGACTAAATTACAACATATAAAAATCAAGAGATCAAAGTAAAAATAACAAAAGTTTATTGATGACTAAAATAAGAAATTGCAAGATAGAGAGGACCTTTCTTGTGAATAATTTTCCGGTGAAAATACATCCCACGTTCCCTCAAAACGCCATCCGATTATAAATGACCCAAATAACTCAAATAGGCCATTATTTCCATTTCCCACGAGAGAGAAGAGCGAGAGTAAAAGAAAGAGAGAGAAAACTCTCTCCATGCTTCAATCGAAGCCCAGATTCCGGTGGGAGTTCCACTGTGCCGGCCACTACTGATCGGCGACCGCCGTCGTACACCGGCGCCGGAGCGAAGAGAAAAGGGCACTACTCGAAGCACGTCAATACCCTGGTCCCGAATCCGGGGTTAGTTTCCTTTGGAAAGGGCTCACACGCTGTGAATCTACGAAGAACCCGAAGGGTTCTTCTTCGACTCCAGCGACCTCAATTTTCAACGTGGAAATGAGGTAAAGGTTTCTCTCCTCGTTTCCTCTCCCTTCTTCCTTTTTGTTTTCCTATATTTTATGTTTGGGTTCGAGTCCCTGTTGCCCCAAATCCCCTTCGATGTTTCCCTTTTTTTCCAGTGCTCTCTTCTATTTTTTTAAACCCCGAATCTCTTTCTTCCTCCCCCTCCATCGTTCCCTCTCTCTGATTATATGGTCCTCCCTCGTTATTAATGGATTATATGGTCCTCTCTCTGATTTTCTGACTTGAATAGGCTTTGAGATTGATTTTTATCTCTCTGTCACTGTTGATGCAGATTTACGGTCACTGTTGTTGATGCGTTCTGATCGGCTTCGATGGAAGCTTGGGAAGCTCGGCTAGAAAGCTGAAACACCAAGACCTGGCGGCTGAGCTGATGTTCATCAGGGTGAAACCCTAGTTTTAGGGCGATATGGACCGTTGATCGGGTCCAGATCCAATGGCTTGTTGGAGGCGGCGCTGGGAAATCATCAGAAACCCTAAGGGACTCTGGGTCAGATATTGGGCCTGGATCTTGGGTGTGAATCGGGTCGGGCTCCAGTGTTGGTTTTTGCTTTGTGGGCTGTTGAACCAGGCCTGATAGGTTAGCTGTTGGGTTGCTTGGGCTTTAATGTAATTTAGTTTGGGCTCCAGGATTGGCCTGTAAAACAAAAAAAAAAAATAATAAAAAAAATAATAATAATAATAGATTAAAATTAAATAGAAAAGGCTCGGTCAAAAACGGGTGTATACAACTGGAAAACGAAATAAAAACACAAAAAAGGTGTAGGATGAAACTGAACTTGAGGATAAATAAAAAGGAACAGTATTTCCCTTGATGTAGTACATGTAGCAATGAGGTATGCTGAGATAAATTTGTAGTTACTGAGAAAAATGAAGATTCGTAATAAACACATTATTGCAACAATAATTCCTAACATGAAAAATGACGGAGCATGAATTATCACTTAGCTAATTAAAAATAGCACATAATTTATCTGGTCCTGGAATATCAGAATAAAAAACTCTTAACAAAAGTATACCAATGAGATATTACTCAACTAATGTTCAAGTATCAAGAATTATGATGTTAAAGAAACCAAAAAAAGTCTTACCCAGATGCATCAGGGCAATCAGTACAAGGTTTAACAGATTTGGTAGCTTCGGAATTACAAGTTCTTGAAGACAAGCATATAATGGAAGATCCTCGTGTGATAGCAGAACCACCTGTTTTCTCATATATGCTTCCCGAACGTTCACTCGGGAAACTCAACTTTGCCAACAAAAGAGGTGTATTTCTCAGTGTCCGACGCTCGAACCCTCGACTTATAGGATAGATTCTACTATGCAGCCTAGTGTGAACAAAATTCTTAGTCACAACCGAGCCACTTGGGACCTTGCTTGAAGTAAATGCCATTGAAGGAATCAACACAGAAAGGAAGTAATCCCACCCAGAAACGCCCTTTCAACAGCTCAAAGCCAAGGTAAGCAAAACATCTAAATTAGGGCTACATAAAATATCTTTAAATAGTCAAGTTGAATCATTTTGAAAAAGAATACTAGCGCTAGGGTAAGAGATTCTCTTGTTATATAAGAACTAAGATAATCAAATGATTCAATCTTGACTGAAACAATCAATAGATTAGAAACAATTATTCCAATTCTCTAATAATTCGATTCCCACTATTGCCATCAGACAATGAAAAACACACACCAAAGTTAGCAATAAGTACTTTTTCTTTCAACTTGCACAGACACACAAACACAGAGAGCTTCACAAATTCACTGCGAAAATTGGGTAGAGAAAAGGGGGGAAACAATGAAAACCCACTACGAAAAAATGTGTAAAATACCCAAAAACTATCAAACGAAGAGAATTAAACCAACCTGCTGAAAGCAAACTGACTTGCATGACCTTGAAAGATTGAAAACAAAGAGAGAAAGACAAGCAAAGCAAAACTGATTTTAAAGAGAGAGAGAGAGAGAGAAACAGTGGCCAAGGGAATTGAGTAGTGAAATGAGAACCTGTGAAGCACGGGGACGACAAAAGAATCCCGTTTCAAGTATTCGATATGTTTCAGGTACGGACACGGTATAGAGACGACCGGGGTACATACAGAGACGTGCCACGACGGTAGGTACAACAGATCGAATTCAAGGACGGTCAAAGTTTATTTGGGATGTTTCGGGGACGTTTCTAGGGTAATTACCACCGACAAGAATTGTTCGGGCGAAGAAGAGGAAACCACTAGCCGAAGGCGAAGGAGGAGCCATTGGAACCCTCTTTTGGATTCGAACAAAAAGCAAAACGGGAGTGATGAGACAGACAGTGGGAGCAAGAAGAGGAAGTCACGATGGGCAGATGAGCCTAAGCCGATGATTCAACTCCCTATTTCTAAAAGGAAGAAAAGAAACAAAAGGAAGAAGAAGCTGTACCAGGTGGAGAAAGTAGATTTATAGAATTCTTGGTATAATTGCCATTTGATCCATGATCTTCTTAGGGATTTCGAAGTTGGAAGTAATATTTTCATTATTTTTCAAATTGGACACTAAAACTAATTTAGGGGTTTAGAAAAAAACTTCTCAAATGTTAGGAATTTAATTAGAGTTAAATTAACGTGTTACACCAATTGTTCTATAAAGTATTAACTTTATTTATAATTTTTATATCTATTTATAATTTAAAAAAATGCTCAAATGTTAGGATTTTAATTAGAGTTAAATTAGGATGTTAACAATGTTTGATTTGAGTTTAATATTTTTGTACACTTAATATTATAGTTTGAAATGACCATCCAGCTCAGTTGGTAGAGCACAAGGTTCTAAACCTTGAGGTCGTGGGATCAAGTCCCACGGAGGGCATTTCATAATTTGGAGGTCTATGCTCTCAACCTGGTGTTGGGGGCATTATCTTACCTAGAGTTAATATTGTGGTTTGAATATTAAAATTTAACATTAATATTGTGGTTTGTTTATGGATTTTAATGTTCTAAACTTAATATTATAATTTGAGTCTTGATATTTGACTTTATTTATAATTTTAAAATTATTATATATGTCGTATGCTTGTCGTCCTATAATTTATAAAATTATCGTTTCTCGTTTTTATCTGTGTTACCGTATCTGTATCAGTTCAACATAGATGAGAACCACGAGTAAAGCATGTGGCCCGAAAGAGCCAAAGATCGGGACTAGTGTAAGATCTTAAAAGGAAGAAAAATTTGCAAGGGTCTTTTTCTGACAAGTATCATACCTTACACAGGTGTCATGGATTTGGGTTGCAACAGAAGCCATCGTTATTCTCCATTTAACTTTGTTTGGGTAATTCTTTTAACTTTGTCGGTCCAAACGAAGCATGCCTATCCAGTTCGGATAAACATGCAAGCCTTTGTGTTTCTGAAGCCACTGGTTTTTCTATGCAACAAAATTTTATCTTCTTAAAGTTTTCCTGTGTTTTGGTATTACCAGATTTGAACTGCAATTCCCTTCACTACCTCGACATTCTTATACTTGGTTTTGAGTGAGGAGTTCTCTCACGTTGCTTATCTAAATATATCTAAACATGTATTAAAAAAAAGCATGTATTATACAATTATTTTTTAAAGAGATTCTCACTAATACATTTACCAGAAATTATAGAAATTGTGTTATCGATTCGGCTCACCACGTAATCTATGGTTCTAATGAATGACAATCATAAATTTTAAAATAATTTTTAAATAATCACTCACTTTTTTATTTACATTAGAAAAGAAGTGAAGATTAACCTCCAAAAAAAATGATGTAGATAAATATTATTGGTTGGGACTATGATGACGTGATAAACTAGGACTATCTAATAATTTATCCAAAAATTGAAAGAAAATTATAGAAACATAGCTAAATGCTTGCTAACTCACCAACATCCTATTAAAAGAGCTCCAAGGAGATGAGTAACCGAGAGTAAGAATCTATTAAGTATTTAAAATTAAAATTTACGAAGAACAAAGATTTTATTTAATTAATATTTAAATTAATAAAAAATAATATAATTTTAAAGGTGAATTATTGACTTATAAATAAAATCATTTTGATTGATATAATCTTTAAAATAGACGTTGCCTCTAAAATTAAGACGACATTTAGGATTCCATTAGAAGAAACAATTGAAGATTGTATAATCAAAACGTTCCATAATTTCAATAAGAAGTTTCACACAGATAAAAGTAGTCTATAAATATCACAGAAGGTTTCTGATTCAAGATTAAATCTTTTAGAGACCATCTAAATTTTCTTCAAAAAGATTTCACACGCACGATATATATATATATATATCAAAGACACGCAATCACCACACACCGGACTAACAGAAAACAGCGGGAGTGATGTGAGAAATATGTTCATCAATCCCAACAAAAAAGAGAAGGGAATGGTATTTTCATCTCCCATGTACGATTAATTCTTAGCATTTCTAACAATAAACACATAAAATATTATCCTATTAATAAATTTGAGGCTCTTGTAGTAGGAAACAACCCAAACTAAAATACACTGAAACAACGTCTGTTGTTTAATTAAGTAGGTGTATTGAATACAATTATAATATGGATTTATATTTAATGAAACACCCTAAACTAGTACGACACACATTTGACCAATCATAATGCCATATGGAATCACCAGAGTGGCGAACCAATATTTTCTTTTAAATTTTTCTGTTTTTTTAAATGACCATTTGTAATCACACATGTTAAAATAAATCAACTACAATTTAAATAAAATAGTTTACATTATGAGCTCCCAAAATAATATTTAAATTATACATACCATAGTTTAAAATGAGTTACGACTCATATAAAAATATACAAATTGGGATTTACAATTATACATGCCCTTTAAAGATGAACTTTAGACGTACTTTGTACTATTTGGGTCTGGATCATTGCTGTCAAAAAGTCCTCGGACTGCTCCTGGACTAACTTGCATAAGGAAACAAATTCCAAACACCGAGCTAACTAGCCCAGTGTCACACTAACAACTAGGTCATACTGAAAGTGTTCATGTCATGCTCAAGCTAATTGATAACTACAATAGAGAGTATACTCGTATACTGCACTCTCTACTTTATGGTAGAAATCATGGTGCGGCTGAGGGTTCTGCATCTTAGAGCTCACTGTCCGCGAATTGTGACTACTAAATATGGTCGCGAAAATATGTGCAAGTATACACAATAGAACAAATAATACAGTGATGAGTGGATATCGTATCCACAGGGATTGAAGGAAATATATAAGTTCAATCACAACAATTAACTATTTCACCTAAGTATAGTTAGTAATAGTATATACAAATGAGAATGTTGTGGAAAAATGAAATGGATGTTGGTGGGAATGAAATGATGGTGTAATGTAATATGGTAGCAAATGGAGATGGAGTGGCAAAGTGGATGAAAATGTCTAGGCAAAACTAAATTGAGTGTAGTAGAATCAATTGAAAATGTAAAGGCAAAACGAAATGTAAACACTGGATTTAATTAAAATGACTTTAGACTCCTCACACAACAAACTACTACTGGAATGAATGATACGAGTCACTAAGGAAACTTAAGTCTAACTTCTCAGGATGGTCTTACTTCTATGCCTTATTTTCCCGATATAGTTTACTAATGGTACCCTATGTTATCTCTAGTCAAGGGACTCGACAGGTTGAGGATGCCATGTTAATACCTCTTGGCGTTAGCAGGTGCAGGGATCCTATTGGTTCAGATAACTGAATATGTCACAACAATATCATTCAGCATCAACACTAGCATCTAACCTCTCGACCGAGCACAACTCCTTTTAGTCAATTGAAATCCTAGCCTTATGTCTAAGGTTGGTTTAGGTCTAGTTACAATCTAGAACCCCTTGCTTATGTGTATCCTCCATAGTTTCTCTTAAACACTAAGGATATGCTACTTAGTCATTCTCTCGAACACTAAGCATTATCCTAAGGAATGACTACTCTCATAGCTCCTACAACCTTAAGGCATTAAACATTATAAGCAAAACAACTAACAACATACAAAAACAACCATCCATTAAAATAAAACCTAGGTATCCATAAGGAACTCCCACAAAATAAGACTAGTTCATGGTAGGGTTCGAATATTCCAAATAACAAGGCATGGAATTAATTCATTCCATACAACCCAACTAAGATAAATGAAAGCAAACAACAAAAGTATGGAGGAAAAACCTTCGACGTGCATTGTAGGAGCTTTCCACGGCCACCACGAACTGCCCTAGCTCGCTAGCTCCTCTTGGATGCCTAGCTCGCCACAACCTCTACTTGTTAATGAAGGAATGCCATGAAAAAAATGATTGACGAAAAAAATGATAGACATTTTTCTTTCTGAAATTCAACTCAAAACGGCATGTAAAGTCTTTTTTTTATCTGGTGGCTTCATCTTCTATTTATAGGGGGAATAAACCTAGGAATTTGTGTTAAAATTCCTAGGATACCCCGAACTGGTCTCTTTCACGTGAGGGAGTGTAGCAGAGCTGGCAGTGGTCCCCTCCTAGGTAGCTAGGTGTGGTCCCTCTTGGGAAGCTTGTAGCTGTGCGTACGTGACGACAGGATTAGCCGACCCAAGTGGTAGATGTTCCCTCCTATGTGACTAACGATTGAGGGCACGTGAAGACAGGGACAAATGGCTCTTGAAAATATAATCTTTCATCTTTTTCAGTTCTAAAATGTCGTCCAAGTTGGAATTTGCATTCTACTCAGTAGTCCCAGCATGTCACGACAATTCCCTTTGCTTATCCTTGCTCCCAAATCCTGTACATAATCAAACAAAACACCTTCCCCATAAAGTAGCACCGTTTACAAAATAAAATGTCATAACAAATTATATTTCCACCATATACAACTATATGCTCCTAAGTGCATCTATATGATCCTATATGAACTCTTAGATAGTCA